GGGGTGGGCAAAAATTATTTTTGGTGTGAGAATCGTGAGAACCATATTTGATGCTATTTTTAATCGTGTGTGATATGTTAATTTTTGGTGCTATCATTTTCACAAATGTTAATTAAATTATGTTATTATTTTTATAAAATACATCCTGATTACAAGTAGCATCAAGCACAATTAATCATAGCAATACCCATAAATAAAAAGAGTGGATTTGAGTGTTATCACATTAATACTTAACTAGTACAGATCCCGTGCGATGCACGGGGTGCACAAAATTAAGGTCATTTATCAAGTCTAATAATTATATAAATGAATAAAGAAAAATGTACGGGATATATATAGTACGTGACCTGTAATAGGCCAAAGTGTGAACACGAGATGCACAATTTTAAGGTCATTTATAAGTACAGAGTCGGTGCGATGCACGAGGTGCCCAATTTTCTAGTTTGTGTAATACAAATACATACCGTATGCACGGGACAGAAGCATTAAATGAGTTATTTCCACAGAGCTTGCCCGTTAAGTAGCTCCTGAACACGGGTGCACAATTTGTAGTATGTACTATAAAATCAGAACAGATTTCCATACAATTAGATAATAAATAAAGCCTTTTTTATTTTAGTAAAGATTTTACGTAATTTTTTTTTACTTATCGGATGTTATGGGATTTTTTTTGTTAAACCGATTTTACGGGATATAATACAAATACAATTAGAGGATTGAAAAAAATCAGAACAGATGTATATACAATTAGATAATAAGAAGGAATTAGATAAGGAAAAGAAGAAATTAGATAATGAATTTTGAATCTACCTTTTTTTTAGTATAGATAGACTTTACGTACAAATTTTGACTTCACCAATTTTATGAGATTTGTTTTGACAAAATCAAAGACGAACACTAAAGACTGTTTATATTAACATTTACACTGTGTATTTAATGTTTTTTTTTTTTTGGCAAAATATTCTTTTTAAGTGTGATATATAAATATTAAAAATACTTAAAATATTTATAACATCTATAAAAGCATCTAAAATATTCTATATTATTCACAAATAATATTTGAAGCTACTTAAATTTTTTTAACTACCCGTAAGGAAAACATGTATAAAAATTCTTCATTTAACCTTCATATATGTATATATATAGAGAGAGTAAATGTGTAAAAAAATTTATACAAATAATATTTAAAAGTATCTAAAATATTAGTAATTAGACAGGTGAAATTTAGATTTTTAAAAAATCTATATAGATAATGGATTTATAGTAGTAATTAGACTTTTATTTATTTACCTTTAAAGTTGTTACGATAGAGGGATGTGATTTT